ATAAAGAAGACATAGTCTGTTTATAAACTTCTGTAGTACTACATTCTCAATAAAAACACATTCCTATATTATTTGTACAATTAAAACAATTAAAAATGTAAAAACATAAATAGTCTTGTTTTCATACAAAAGTCTGTATCATGTTCAGCAAATCAGCATTCTCATCCTTGTCCCTTCTTCAGACCTTTCATTTATTGCCTTCCCCTAGTCTGATTCCAACAGGGCAGTTAGAAACATGAGTGCCGTTCCCCAGGTACGATGACTCTGTCCATATGAATCAGTGGGAAATTACCTCTGGCATCTCTTCCAGAGATAGAAGTTCGAATGAAATGGTAAGGCAAAAGGGATAGGATGTCACCATGGTCCAAGGCCTGGCTTTTCAACCTTGAATGTCCCCAAACTAGATCTTATCAGTGCTGTGAAATTGATAGGGTTCAGAGAAGCTACTTTAGGCTGACTACTATCAAGAGAGACTACAATTATAAATCAGATTGACAATTCATTAATTTACCATGAGACCTAGAGCTACCATAAGAATTAAGTATTTCCATCTTCTGATCAACCTAGTCTCTCTTTGAAGGCAATCTGTAGGAAGCCAAGTTATAATAAGTTTGTTTAGTGAGCATGGAAATAGAATAAAGGGGAGTTAACTTTATAATTCAGACACTTAATGGCTTTTGGCTCTAATGGCCTGTTGAATCCAATTCTATGATTAATATGTAGGTGCAACTGAGATGAATAGGTTGAGTCCTTGGACCAGGGTACCCTGGACAGTGCTTATTTTATAATTTAATTCTCAGAGACCAACCTTATTTCCAGATTCAGAAGGTACACTGAACCATCATCTGCATATACTAGCTATGACAGACACTGTATTAGGCTCTGGAGATACAGATATAGAGGAGACTTGGCCTTGTTTTCCCAAGCACTTAGTTCATGTACGCTAACATTTTGGAACGTTGAAGTTTTATTTAAGCAAGTTCTAAGTTTTGTTGATGGCCAAATTTGGGTGGATCTTGGAAACGTATCTTGGCCTCAGAGCTAGCAGATGTTGCTTTCAACAGTAGTGTTGGGTAACAGTTGTTAACAGTATAGCAGTGATTTATTTAGGCAGTGCCCGCATTGCAAGAGCCAATCAGTCCTTCTTTAAACGTGCATTTGTCAAAGGTCAAAAAGACAAGGGCGTAAGTCACACAGAAAGAGGCTAACAGATATCATAAGTCAAGATAAGGATAAAGCCTGAAATACTAATAGTTTGGTAAGTTGATCAGGATATACTAATGATCAGAGTATTGGGATATGAATTTGATTTAAGTAAGGCTTATCTTAGGGAGCCCTGGTGGTGCAGTGGTTAAAGCACCTGGCTGCTAACCAAAGGGTCAGTGGTTCGAACCCACCAGCTGCTCCATGGGAGAAAGACATGACTGCTTCCATGAAGATTTACAGCATTGGAAACCCTATTCGGCAGTTCTACTCTCTCCTGTAGGGTAACGATGAGTCAGAATCAAGTCAACAGCAGTGGGTTTGGTTAGGCCGTCTCACCAGGGAGTCTTGCCATGATAGAAGCTGATTACTGAAACATTATTGGGTCTGAGCCCACAGGTAGGACTGGCAAATGACAGTTCTTGGATGAGGAGAATGCAACATCAACCTTATGTGTCTGCCTTTATTTTTCTTTATATGAAAAAGCTTAAATAAAATCGTCCCCAGAGGAACATTAAATTTTATTTGCATCATCCAGATTTTCTTCATAAATTAAAAAAAGCACATGCATAGATATTTTTTGTAATCTTCAGTTGGCATACACATTTTACCTTGTATTCTGTCTTTTAAGTGTAAATGAAAATGCTTGTCTGGAATAGTATATGTTTGCTAGCTTTTTCAATTAAATAATATATGGAGAAAAAAATCTCCGTTTCTTATCTCATCCATGTCCCACCCCCACCAGCATCACCACTAATAGTTTTTTTGTGTGTCCTTCCAGAATTATTTTATATGCGTATACAAATATGCATCCTTATTTCCCTTCTTTTTACGCAAAAGATAACATACTGTATATGTTATTGCACACCTTTTTTTAGATAACATTATGTCTTAGAACTCTTTTTGTATCAGTATATAAGAGAGCTTTTTTATTCCTTTCTTATAACTAAATGGTAATGCGCTGTATGGATTTATAATACTTAAACCAGTCCCTTCTTGGACCTTGGGGTGGTTTTTTAGTTTTTGCTGTTATAAACTATGATGTAACAAATAACTCTGTGTGTGTGTGTGTAATTTCATTGATGGGCAGGTACACCAGTAGGATGCATTCTCAGTGGTGGAATTGCTGGGTCAGTATATGCAGTTTATGCGTGTAATTTTGATGAATATTACCAAATTGTCCTCCATGAATCGTACCAGTTTTCACATTCATCAGCAGTGTAATTTCTACAGCATTGCCAACAAGTGTGTTTTCAAACTTTGTAATTATTGCCAATAGGTGAAAAACAGTATTTCATTATAGTATGATTTGCAGGATGAAATTGTTAAAATATTGCAGAAAAACAATACTTGGAGCTTGATAATCTTACTATAATAGATATTGAAATACAGCAATGATACACTGTTACAGGTTAAAAAAAGTTTTGTTCTAGCTGTTTCTTGTTGGATAATGCTTTTCTTTGGTTACAAAATTATCTTTTACTTGCCTCCCTTGACATTTCTTGGTTAGAAATATTCATCTTTTTTTCTTTTTCAGTTTACATCAAAGCTATTTGATAGAGGCATAGATTTTTTTGGTCAAGGAAGAAAAATTCACTACTTTGATTTAATTTAACCCATGTCATAAATATGGATGTTATTCTTAATTACTGCATAACTGCTGCCAATTGGCCTACTCAGTTTTCCAAACCCAGTGGAAAAGCTGATCTCCTTAAATCTGTTTAAATGGTCTCTCATCAAAAATTAACGCTTTCAATTAGTATCACTATTTCTTTACTACAAAGCTAAGAATTAAATTATAAGAGTCTCTTCTTTTTTATTTTTCTATTTATTTGGCATCTTTGAAAATTGCAGTAGAGAAGATGAATAGATTTATCCTTTGATGTATACTTCAGGGACTGAGATTAAAACCAGTGGTAAAATGAGATTTAGATTATAATATTTGAATTACAATATCAAAATGTAAGTCAAATGTTAGTAAAACTCAGAACTTCCAAAGTTTGAAATTCCCTAGAGCAGAAATGAATTCTCAAAACTAATAGCTCTTAAATATATGATCTTAGTCCCTCCTCCCAAGTGAAATAGGTTAAGTTTTGCCATGTTTAATGGGACACCAGTGATATGAGAGCATTAAAGAGATGAAAAGAACCCTAAAGCTCATTTAGGTAATTCTGTCATTTTGCCAGTTAGTGAACTTTCCCCCAAAGAGGGGCGATGAGCTTTCTTTTGTCTACACAGCTGGTTAGTACCAGAGTTGAGATGAGATCGTGAGTCATTGGGTTCCATTTCAGTTTTTACCATATCACTTAGTTTTTGTTTTTAAAACTTTTGCTTTTCTGTTTTCCATATCTCTTATGCAGTTAGATATTAATGTCTATTAGATACTGATATCAGATGTTTTGTTTCTCTTTGGAATTTTTTTGTTTGGTTCTTCTTTATTGGTTTCTGCAGTTATTATCCTAATCTAGGACCTCATCACCTGCTGTCTAGGTTTTTCACTTCCCTTCTCTGTGCCTTTGGCTTTGTAGTTTATTCCCTACACTGCTGGGAAATAGACTGATATTCTTTAGACAGTGTTTCATCAGGTTGTTTTCCTATTTAAGAACTTCACTGGCCTCCTATTGTGTATATGATCAAGTAAAAATTCAAAGGATCTTCTCAAATGACCATGTCTTACCCATTTGATCATATGTCCAGTTGTTCTCTAGATCTTTTTAGATGTCCTAAGCTTATGTCCCAGCCTTACACACCTTTTGCCTGTTCCAACTTTTGAATTACTTATGCTGCTTTTCACACTGAAAACTTTCAATGCCCTTTTCTTTCTGTTGTTAGTGATGAATAATCTTTTCTCCATGTATGTGTGTTTTAGTTGTGCTTTTTTTTTTGCTGTAGCCAAAATCAGTGCTATGTATGTGAATGTAAGTGTGGGTTTGGAAAATGTTAATTTAAAAATGAATCAGAAAAAAAAAATCAAAAATTGACAGAAAAAGTATAATGGGACAGTTTCTTTGGTGCTAGACTTTGCTCATCTAGAATATATGTTTCAGATATAAAACAAAATTCTAATGAAACAAATTAAAACAAAAAATTAAAGGAATAGGTGAAGTTTACCCTGTGATGATTCACAGTATCACCTAGCCTATCCTGTTGGTGATTCTGTGGCACACAGTGGCCAGTAGTGCATGTTGCACTCAGTGGCACTCAACCCGTATGCAACACTTCTGCGTGCAGTTTCCTAATGAGGTCCATATTGTGATCTCTCTTCTTGAATGGCTTCCTCTCGCACCCTAATGGACACCTTCCCAGCAGGTGCCACTGGGCTGGCACTTCCCTTTAGACGGCTTCCTCCAGCATCACAGAGGACAGCTGTCCAGCAAGCTCTGCTGGACAAGTTTGGCTGTGCTCTCCACAAACCCGAGAGCTCAGCACTGATAGGGGTAACCCTCTTACAGATTCGTTCCTTTCTAGGTGCTCTGCATTAGCTGTAGAAGTAGTGACTGCTCCCTGTATCTGCTGTCTACCTGTTAGTAGTTACTCGCCTGTTGTAGTTAATAATTCTTTGCATTAAACTTTCCCTGTTCAGATTACCATGTGGTTTCTGTCTCCTGGTTGGTCCTTGATGTATTGGGTTTCAAATTATACCTCCTTCATGTGATTGTCATGAAGATTAAATGAGATGATAATACATTCAAAGTGTTTAGAATAGTGTCTGCCATAGAGTAAATACTTAATCATCATCATCATAATCACTGCTGCCACCACTAGCTAGGAGTAACATTTCTACTTTTTGTCCACAGGATGTTTCGTCTGAACTCACTTTCTGCGTTGGCAGAACTGGCTTTGGGCTCTCGGTGGTACCATGGAGGGTCACAGCCCACCCATATCAGGAGACGGCTAATGTTGGCGGCTTTCCTGGGAGCATCTGCAGTAACTGCGAGTACTGGTCTCTTGTGGAAGAGGTGAGTGTTACCTGAATATCTTGTTCTTAACATGTACTTTTATTCTTCTGTTTGCCTCTGTTATCAGAAAGGAGTTGACTTCTGGCTTAACGGTATATCAGAATTTCACGTCCAAATGATTTGGCATTGATAATATTTGTCTGTGAAATAAGATGTTTAAAAGGATTCAGCTGTCATGCTAAGGCAATAAATAGGAAACATCTGCTTCAAAGTCTGCCTCTCTCCTCTGCTGAACATTTTTAATGATGGTGTAGGGATGGCAATAGTAGCTTTAGAAAATGAGTGCTTTCTGAGACTTCATAATTTGGTAACCATATGGAATTAACTGTTGTTGTTAGTTGCTGTTCAGTCAGTTCTGACCCCATGTGTACAAAGTAGGATTTTCATGGCCGTGACCTTTTCAGAAGCAGATCGCCAGGCCTGCCTTCCGAGGCACCTTTGGCTGTGTGGGTTTGAATCGCCATTTTTTCAGTTAGTAGCCTAATACTTAACCATTTGCACCACCCAGGGACTCCTGTATGAAATTAACTAATGAACCTTAATATTCTTGTCATCTCACAGTTTTCTTTTTAGTTATTGAAACTTTACTAGAGCAAAGAGAAAAAGTGATGATCCATAGTCTTCTCTTTCTTCAAATGTATAGATACTGTTTTCTGACTTTGCCACTCCTTGTTTTTTGTCTTTTACCTGGTTTACCCTGTCCTAAAGTTGCTGTCATTATATTTGATTGTCTCAAGAATACTTTTTTCTTTGTTTTTAATCAATTTTATTTGAAGAAATAATTTATATAAAACAAAATGTACCCATTTTAAGTATACAGTTCAATGAGTTTTAATGCATATATGTGATTGTGTAACCCCATTGCCATCGAGTTGATTCTGACTCATAGCAGCCTTATAGGACAGAGTAGAACTGCTCCATAGAGCTTCCTAGGCTGTAAATCTTTACGGACGCAGACTGCCACATCTTCCCCCCACGGAGTGGCTAGTAGGTTTGATCTGCTGACCCTTTCAGTTAGCAGCTGAGCGCTTAACCACTGTGCCAGCAGTGCTCGTTGTTTCATTCAGCATAATGTTTTTGAGATTTATATGTATCAGAAGCTTGTGTCATTTTTATAATTGGATAGTATTTTTTTTTTTTTAGGAATATATCACAATTTGTTTACCCATTTCCCAGTTGAAGGACGTTTGGTTGTTTCCAGTTTCTGGCTATGACTAATAAAAATGCTTTGAAATTCATATGTAAGTCTTCATTTCTTGTATATGACCAATGTAATTGATTGTTCATATGCTAAGTATATGTTTAATTTTATACAAAATTGCCAGTTTTCCAAAGCGTTTGTACTGTTACATACTCCTACCAGCAATGCTCGAGACTTTAACTTGCTCACTAGCCCTTGGTATTGTCGGTGTTTTTGATTTTAGCGTTCTAGTGAGTGTGTTATGGCATCTCCTGGTTTAATTTGTATTTCCTTGCTGACTAATGATGCTGAGCATCTTTTCCTGTGCTTATTGGCCATTTTCGTGTCCTCTTTTGTGAAGTGTGTATTCAGATTCCCCATATTAAAAAAAAAAAAGAGTTGCTTCTCATTGAGCTGTAAGAGTTCTTCATGTATTTTGGATGTAAGTTCTTTGTCAAATATATATTGATTATGAATATTTTCTCTCAGTCAGTGGTTTGCCTTTTCATTTCCTTAACAGTGTCTTTCAAAAAGCAGAAGTTTTTAATTTTAATGAAGTCCAGTTTATCGATTTTTTTCTTATATGGTTAGTGCTTTTCATTTCTTGTCTAGGAAATCTTTGCATATCCCAAGATGTAAAGATTTTCTCTTGTGTTTTCTTTTATAAGTTTTATACTTGTAGCTTTTATGTCTGGAATCAATTTTCAGTTAATTTTTATGGTGGTTGTATCCAATATGGATATCCAGTTATTTCAGCATCATTTGTGGAAAGACTAGCCATTTACCACTGACTTATGCTAGTGCTTTGGTCGAAAATTAGTTGACAGTATACGTATGGGTTTATTTCTGGGCTGTTTGTTCTGGTGCTTTAATCTATGTGTCTCTTCTTAAGCCAGTGCAGCATATCTTGATTACTATGACTGTATAGTAAGTCTTAAAAACATGTCATTTAAGTCTTCAAAGTGTATTGCTCTTTTTCAAGATTTTTAAAATTTAGATCCTTCTGTATCCACATAAATTTTATAATCAGCTTGTCGTTTTCTACAGAGTAGTCTCCTGGGACTTTGAATGGGAATGTGTTAAATCAGTAGATTAATTTGAGAAAAATCATCATCTTAACAATATTGAGTCTTTTTTTTTTTAATATTTTATTGTACTTCAGGTGAAGGCTTACAGAACAGATAGTTTCTCATGTAACAGTAACACATATGCTGTTTTATGACATTGGTTAACAACCCC